AGAAGATTATGGTGTCCGACATTGTTTTAGCATAACTACACACCGACTCCACATTAAGTTTGGTGCATTCTGATCGGCGTAAACGAACATCATTACCACCGACGTGAATAACAATCCTACTGTATTTACGTTTCTCTTGAGAAAATGTTGAAAGTCCCCAGAGACATTGTGGCTCGAAATATATTCCTGCCTGTGTCTGCGTCCCACAGGCTGGCTGTCGATTCATCCTTGGATTTGTAGACCCCAGCCAGGATGAGGAGACCCCAGCCAGGATGAGGAGACCCCAGCCAGGATGAGGAGACCCAAATACGCATGTAAATGCATTTTGTCCAGCTCCTTCCACTCCTCCCCATATACACGGCTCCCTTCCAGATTGGTCATATCCAGAACGATCTTCAGCACTGTGTTCGAAATGACCAGCTCAAAAGCAGACTTGATGTCTGTGACACGAGAGACTGCCATCCTGGTGGGCCCTGGCACTGCCTTCATTATGTTTGCTGCTGATAGTGTTGCCTGGCATCCGTTAAGGGATGAGGACCACTGAATTTCACCATTTTTGGACATGAATGTCTCATCTGGGCAAATATCAGTTTCCTCATCTGATTGATCATAATCAGAATCTTCATCGTTTACCTCAAGGTAGTCTTCATCCTCGGAAACGTTCTCCTCTATCTCGCTGTCGTGATCCTCCTCAAGGATGTATTCCATATAGCCCAGGGCTGTCCTCTCTTCACTGGCGTTGCTCATTTTGTCTGATAGTATTGTGAGTATACTGTACGTTAAGTGCAGAGTATAATGTATCCCAGTGTGGGAGGAGCTTACCCATTACACATTTGAGACTTGAACCCTCTGACCCCCACTTTCACTAACAGGTGCGGTGTGTATCTGTGTGTGTATTTGTGTGTGTATTTGTGTATATCTGTCTGTCTGTCTCTCTGTCTTGTTGTGTGTGGAAAATTAAGATATATATATATATATACTGTATATCGCATTTGAACCCTCTGACCCCTTCTAGCCTCCACTTTCACTGGTGTGTGTGTGTGTGTGTGTGTGTCCTAGCATTACTATACTTGTGGAGACCTAAATCTGTTTACATAGTCACGTGTGGGGACTCGCCTCCCTTATGGGGACAAAGTGGAGGTCCCCATGAGGGGAATCATTAATGTTAGGGTGAAGACTTGGTTAGGTTTAGGGTTAGGGTAAGGTTAAGGGATAGGCATGTGTTGGTTATGGTTAAGGTTAGGATAAGTCTCCAGGAAATGCATGTAAGTCAATGTAATGTCCCCTGAAGTGGTGTGTGTGTGTGTGTGTGTGTGTGTGTGTGTGTGTGTGTGTGTGTGTGTGTGTGTGTGTGTGTGTGTGTGTGTGTGTGTGTGTGTGTGTGTGTGTGTGTGTGTGTGTGTGTGTGTGTGTGTGTGTGTGTGTGTGTGTGTGTGTGTGTGTGTGTGTGTGTGTGTGTGTGTGTGTGTGTGTGTGTGTGTGTGTGTGTGTGTGTGTGTGTGTGTGTGTGGCAGGGACGTGCACAGACATTTGGAGGGGCTGTTGCTCTAAACTGGAAAAAGGGCCTCCCCCGATAAAAAACAGACCTTTTAAAAATTGTAACTTGTTTTTAATGTAAAAGAAACCAAACTTTATTACATCAACTAAATTGAACAGTAATTCACATCTCATAACAAAATAAGCTGAGTCAACTACTTGCATTCGGTAACTTGATTTTAAAAATGAAAACCAGGGACATTTTTAGTTTTGCGGTCCAAAGCTCATTAAAACATCTAATGTTGGTAACTATTAAAGACACAATGGGGACACTTCTGTTCTAATGTAGTTTGACCATTGTAACTGCTGTGCAGTCCAGACATACTGATAAAATAGTAAGTAAGTAAATATTAGTAAATAATAAGTAATTACCTTAAATAAACTCACTAATGAATGAAACCAGTTCAATACACATTATTCTTATTCTTATCATTCTTTATGAGCGCAGTAACGGTAAGGTATCTAATTACTTATTTATTTAGTATTCCATAACTTAGTAACAGAGATGGTCAAACTAAAGTGGTAGAGACATGGCAGAAATCCTACAATGAAGCGGGACATTGAACTGTTCACCCGTGAGAGGGCGATCAAGAAAAGAGAGCGAACGGCCCCGTTGAGGGAGTTTACAGATGAGAAGACTCAGAAACACAGAAGCACAACAACAAGTAGGCTATATTTAGGTGTTTTTTTGTAAATAACCATCGGTATCAAGAGGAAGTAAAGTCCCCTGGGTTGTCCCTTATAGCCTAACTGCCATGAGACAACTCAAAATCAAGTTTCCAAAATCCGACACTGAGGTGGTCTTAACGCACCGGCAGATGACAGCGCTGACAAAGTGTGTTTCCCGCAGCGAGACGCTACAATACTAATTGTGGGCTTATCATGTTGATTCGGCCAAAACAGAACAAAGAAAAACAAACTCTCGCTCTCTCCAGAGGGGCAGGTCAGCCAAAAAGGCCAAACGGGCCGTTGCCCGGGCAACATTAGCCCGTACCTGTGCACGTCCCTGGGTTTAGGCCATGCCCATGTTGTTTGTGGAGTAAGGGGATGTATAAGGCCCACCACACATAGATTTAAAGTTGATCTGTCTGTCTTTCAGCAGGTAAGATGGACTTCTATGAATGGTACGATAACCACTGCTGCCCTCTGTGCCACGAGCTAATGACTGAGAGAGATGGAGATTTCCTCTGCCTCTGCTGTGAAGATGACTGGCATGAACAGGAGGCAATGATGAACCAATCCTCCGATGACAGATGAAGAGTTTGTAGGCGACGGGGATGAAGAGGAAGGTATGGAAACCACTATGGAGGAAGAGGAACCTGATCACCGCCATGCTGGACCTGAAGATGTGGCCTGTGATGTCTGCAATGGCAGAAAGCAGAGAGCCCTCAAATCCTGCCTCTCCTGTCTGGTCTCTTACTGTGAGCAGCACCTTCAGCCTCACCATGGATCTCCTGCTTTTGAAAAACACGAGCTGGTGGACTCCTCCAAGGATCTCCAGGAGAACATCGCCCTCCGTCAGCAGTGTGTCTACACAGCAGAAAATGCAGAGAAGCAGAGAAAGCGGGCAGCGATTCGACTAAAAATCCAGCAGAGGATCCAGGAAAGAGATACAAATGTGAAGCTGTATTATCTGGAGATGGAGGCTATCAGTGACTCTGCTGCTGAAACGGTGGAGGACAGTGAGAAGATCTTCACTGAGCTGACCCGTGTCATTGAGAAAAAAAGGGATTACGTCAACCACAAGATCAGATCGCTGCGTCAAATTGAAAATAATCGAGTCAAAGAGCTTCAGAAGAAGATTGAGCAGGAGATTGCTGATCTGAAGTGGAAAGACTCTGAGCTGCAGAAGCTCGCACACACAGAGGATGAGAACGCCCGGTACCCTACCCGGTACACCTACAGACACATCGAGCATCCCTTCCCTGCAGGACTTTAAGGACGTCACAGAGTCTTTGACTAAAGTTGAGAGAAACGTAGGGGAAGTTCTGAGGGAGAATAGCACCGACTTCAAAATGGCAGGGACCAAAGTGGAGGTTTTACTGTCGCCGCAAGAGCCTAGCATCAGACTGGGCGGTGTTACTGGGAGGTGGAGTACAGTGAAGAGAAAAAAGTGTGTGTAGCAGTCTCAAGGAATTCATCAATGTTGACTGTGTGCCCGAATGTAAATGTGGACACCCGCTGGACTTGTCGTACGGACAAAATAAAGGAAGAGCAGAGTTCTGTGAACTCATGGGATAAAGGGACAATGGGTTCAAACTGCACATAGCAACACTGCACAGCAATCTACTGTCATTCAAACGATATGGAAGTGGACTTCTTATTTTTTTGTTTGCGTTTTTGCCAAGATATTTAAATATGTTTTATATGATTAATAAACATACACGAAAAAGTATTTTCTTTCTTGTCTTATATCCAGGGTAACATACAGGTTTGATGGAGATTTTGTGAAACTGATACGAGAGTTGAATTGAGGCATGCAGTATCCTACACCCTAAACTCCACACAGTTCTCTGTTCATGTTAAGAGCAGAACAGCTTTGGTCACATTCAGTAACTATTACCGGGCTTTCACTGTGGTGTGGATTCATTATTCCATAACCAAGTTGTATTCCTCATTTTGCTGTGATATCTATTAAAGTTAAGATTGGTTAAACTTAAACCATACAGGCTACCAATAAGACTCATCTGTTCTTGTAGAAACTATTTAGGTTTTTGTAAAAAAGTGTATCCATTCTTTTAGAAATAACTAAGTAGCTATTATGGTTTTGGCATCTTCTTAAATAATGTGTGTAAATACAAGATCCGGCAAACTGCCAAAATATTTCCTTGTCATATTTATTCTTAGAGCTACTGTTTTGTTTCCTAAAAAATAATGATAGGACATGGCTTTATCCCACTTATTTGGTATCTATTAAATATTGAATTTATGCACACGTGGAGTGTAAACATTAGAAGGAAGCCTTTTTTTTAAATTAAAAACCTTGAACATTGATTCTTAAAAGAAGTGTTTTTTGTGTGATCTAAACATTTTGACAGTAATTATACGCAAAGTATACGTCTCAACCAGATTTTAAGACTTGAAACCATTCGGGGTAAATGCGGTATTTTTCTCATCATGCTAGTATATTTTTCTCTTTTCATACTATCAAACTAGAGCATTACAAATGTAAAAATAAGAAGGAAATCAAAACCAATTGTTTATTTGATAAATATTTTTACTTGAAATGGTACCTTTTGTTTTTAATCACTATTATCACTTTATTTCTTTGTATATATATTTATATATATATATATTTATGTATTTACTCTTTGTGTACCTGTGTTCGCCTGATGTCAATGTTGTGTGTGGACATAATGTTGGATGTACACATATTTAAAAAAAAAGAGTAATACGCAGCAACGACTACATTTCCCATAGACCAGTGCGGCACTTAAACTGAGCTTACGTCACGTGCACTTCCAACTTCCGGCTGAAGTGTAAATTGATACATGACACAGTTGTTTGGAGGAAAGCTTGGTTTCTTTGGGAAAAACGTTAACGTCCACGGAACTACCGACGTGGATTTTACATTTTAACGGCCGATCGTCCCGTGTAGACTGGGCCGCGATGGAGGCGGTTCCCCGGATGCCGATGATCTGGCTGGATCTGAAGGAGGCTGGGGACTTCCAGTTCAGCCCGTCCGTCAGGCAGGTGAGCTGGCCGGGTGTGGAGCAACAGGGCTGACGACGAAAGTCAGCCAAACAGGGATTAAGGATAACCCAATAAAGAAGCTAACATTAGCCGTTAAAACAGTTGGCTGTCTCTGGCTGTCGCGTGTCGGTAAACATTCTGATGGCGGTTAGCTGCACAGCTAGCATAAGTCAGATTCTGGCAAATCTCCCTGACCACCGCCTTTTGTTTGCTAACATTAGCTTCATGCTAGCTAGTAATAATAACACATTATATTTATATAGCGTTTCTCCAGGTGCTCCAAGCCGCTTTACAGATTACATGTTACTTATTAGACGCTTTTATCCAAAGCCACTTACATGCACTGAATACTGTGGACAATACCCACAGGAGCAAATCTAGACAGATACTTTATTCAGCACATTATTTCGTTACAGCAGCAATATGTTTAGGCATTACAATAATTAAAAGTTGGAAAAAAGTATAAACATAATCAAATAAAAACAATAAACAGCACACATACATATCTACAGTAGAAAAGACATGAACCACAAAGAATACTACATTTCTAGATAATTTAAACTGTTCTATAAAAGGCCAATACTACACAGCAACAGAAATATAGACTTATCATATGTATATATTATAGTAGCAAAACATACATATGATAGCTAAAGCTCCCTCAACTGAAGTGGCTCAATACTTAATTAAACACATTTAAGTCGTGAAAGGTAGGGAAACAGCTAAAGTAAGGAAACTGGCCCACTCACAGTCTGCTTTCATGGGAAGTAATACAGCGTGATCTCACTGTCACATGCACCTGACCAAAGCAGGTTCGTCAGACATGTAGGATCCCTGCCAAAACAGGAACACTCATGGAACAAAAAGGCAGTCTAATCAAAATAATAAAAAAACAAGTCACCAATTTACATCTGACCTCAATGAGGAGTTAACAGGATGAGTAACAGCTGTTCTGTTGTACAGTCGAACAGGTAAAAAGGGAAACAACCAGATGAAGGGCAAACTATGAATATGATGAGATATGTTTCAGTTCTTGTTCGTTCAAGGATTTCAAATATATCCTTGTGTTTGCTTAAATCAGAAGTCTATTGATATAATGCCTCTTGTTACAGATGTTGGCATATTATAACATCTTTGTTTTCATACTGTAATGGCATTACAACCTGATGTTTGGTCAGGGGATATTTTCATGTCAGATAAACTAATAGTTTGACCAAATATTAAATCCAAAAATGCACAAATGATGCCTTTTACGCATGCTTGGTGATTTCTACGGTTGTTCACGGCCACATGTGTGATATCTACATGAAAGAAAAGGCCGATCATTAAAATGTTCTTCTTTATCTAGTGACCCATATTCCAGAACGTTCCTGGTGCAGATACAATAACAGATCTTTGCCCCCTTGTGTTAACTCTGGATATTTTGCAATAGACTGCACACATTCATGAAACAATGCTGCTCGTCTTATTCATAAAACAAATATGTATTAGAGTTTCATTCATAAATGTTTTTAAGTAAGTTTAACCTAAATATGAAATACTGAATTAGTATTTAGTTTTCTATTTCATTTTAAATGTTGGAAGTCAAGGTAAACTATAATATAGCACAGGTTAATGCTGCTTTCCTTATAGGCAGACTGGTCATATTCTTAATTAAACTATATATATATTACCTAGACTTGGTTCTGTTAACCCCGACCAGATGCAGAATGGTACACATGTGTCTTGTGGAAGTCAGGAGGACAATGCCTGTCTGTCTTGTTGCTGTGTCATTCTTCATTTTTCCAGTATGCTTTTGACTCTCCTGCTTCCACGATTTCCTTATAAACAGAAGCACTAGTAAAACCACGACTATGTCTGCAGGGTTGTTCACATCCTGCCCTGTCATATCCTGCTTGTTTACGCTCATGGAGACAGGGAAAGGGTTTACGATATTACTTTACAGATCAAGTCTGAAATGCTCCTTGCATCACAGCAGCTCCATGTGTAACATCAACATGGACAAATAGAGTGCCACAGTGACGCGTCCTAAAACCCGGAAGTAAGTTAGCGTTTTTTGACACAGATTGATCACGTTTTGTTCAAGATCTGTCGCTTCAATGTGTGTCAACCACAGACCTTATTTCCAGCTATTTTCCAAAATCCTATGGAGAAATTGCATTGGTTTTTGTCGAAGGAACAACACGCGTCACTGTGGCACTCTATCGAGACACAATACATGAAAAACATTTAACACAACATCACAATCACTGATCATTACACGAGATTTAAAACCCAAACATTAGCATATGTATGAGTTAGCTACAGTTTAAAGACATTCGAACAAAAGTAATTGTATTGTTATAACCAAAACAGAGCTTGAAAGGAACTAGTTTTGTTCTCTGCCTCTTTTCTTCCAGTTCATCTTGAAGAATTATGGAGAGAATCCAGACAACTACAACGAACAGATGAAGAAACTGGAGACACTGCGGCAGGTGGGTACTGTTTGAAAACATCGACACCTTCCTATTGCCCCTTTCAAACTAGATAAGAAACTCACTCACGCTAACATCTGGATTTTGTCTTCAGTTGCAAATGTTACAATCTGCATTCGTCCTGGAGAAATTGTTGAAAATATAGTTGAATATCAAATATCATAATTATAAAGGCTAGTGTGAAGGAAACTTCTGAAGCAATTGGAAACAGGACTCAGAGAGACACGAGGAGAGCTTGAGCTTTGATGGCAAACACTGACGGTTTATTTGGAGTTACGGCCGGAGAATTGACGAGACAGGAGGTGTGTCACGAGTTCACACAGCGGCTGCCAAACCAATTCTGAAGAGCTCTTTCTGCAGCTCGAGGTTTTAACTAGTTCAGAGTGTAATAATCAACATTCTTTATCAGTGAGACTAAACATTATGGACCTTGAATCTAACTAGAGCTCTCGTCCGTAGGAAAGAATGAGCGCCAGGGAACCTTCGTCCCTGAACAGTAAACTACATCATGGCGGCTTGTGCTCTGTCATAGACTGGCAACAACAATGCGCCCAAGCTCCTCCCCCTTAAGAGATAGCAGCAAGGCCGTAGACCTATGCCGTGGGAAAAGAGACAGTGAGAGGAGAACATTATGAACTGTGTCAAAGGTTGAATACTTAAGCAAATGATTCCCTAACAGCTAGAAGTATCTGATTTAGTAGCTAATAGCATCTCCAAAAATTGATTGAGACAGTTGGCAGGAACACGAACATAAAACAGTCTCAAGCGTAAGAATGACCAGACGTGTTTCCCCTACCATTGTCTTGGAGGGGTGCTGCACCCCGCCAACAGAGCCCCACGCCCCCCCCGAGCCCCACGCCCCCCCTGAAATTCAAGTTGTTTTTTTAAAATATATATATATAGCACCAAATTGCAACTAATCTATATCTACTGTCACTTTTCACATTGAACATGTGCTCTTTTATTAAATAAACTAAACGCTTTCATTTGAAGTTGTGAGTTTAGTGTTTTTGACCCTAAGAAACACTGATGCATTAATCAATCACAATAATCCACAGCTCCTCCCCCCAAAGCAGTAAACCTAGGGGAAACACTGAGACCCATGACATTAAGGGGCTTTGTGATGCTGCGATGTCCATATCGACATGACCAAGACATATAGGCACATGACAAAGTCTTAACATTTTTAATTGACAGTGTCTGGTTTCTCTTGCTGTGTCTAGTTATTGATTTTTAAATGCATGTTTAATAGACTGAGATGATGTAGAAGTAAACAGGTTAGAGATTTCGGAGGGTTAGGTTGGGCCCTGTGCACAAACACCTGGGGGAGGAATACAACATCTTCTCTGCCATACATTTTGTATTTCAAAGCCTTGCATCCCACCTCATCCCCCCGTGTGTAAGAAAGGGAAATGTAGTGCTTAACAACACACCCGCTCTGTAATAAACTGGTGGTGTGGTGCTGATGAAACTGTAATCCTGTGAGAGTTTTATTTCCTTGGGGAATTTGTAATGGCAGATAAGTGGAGTGAAATACTCGATCAAACCACTAAGTGAAATATCTGCTGTGTTTTCCACTCAGTAATGGTGTTTGTGTGCAGTGCTGTGCATCCATCCTCGTGATCCCAGTCAGGATTGAAATCACAATGACACTTAAAAATAAGCTCTATAGAAACCATTATTAACATTAAATGCTTAAATGTTGCTTTAAAGGTCCCCTATAATACTGTTTTTCATCACCAAACAGATCATTGCAGCATTACCCATAATCCCCTCTGTTTCAGCCCTGTTTCCAAAGAGCTGATTCTCTGTCTGTTACTTTAGATGGAAATAAGGAGCCCCTCCCCACGCCCCTCTGAGAGACATTTGGTTACAAAGAACTCAATGGTGCTCTAGCTGACAGTGCTTCTCAAACTTGTTTCAGTAATGTACCCCCTTTGAAACATTTTCTCAGCCGAGTACCCCCTGACCGACCCCGAACATCTTTGATCGAAAAAGCCTATATAAATAATTCCAATATAGTGATGTTCCCTCAGTGTGTGATGTATTAACTCCTTCGTGGTATGCATTACAACAAACTAAGGATATTTTCATTTTATGCATGAAAAAAAAAAACATAACACTTTTATAAAACAGAAAACAAAATCAGTTTTTCAATTTAAGTAATATGTTATTATGAAAAACTATAAAATACAATACACACATTTTACATGTTTATATGAGGACCCCCTTGGTGGTTTTAGGAAGGTTTTATATAAAATTGTGTTTTCTATTTAACTTATTTTACTAAGATTATTTTTTTAATTAACTTTTTTTTTTTTTTTTTTTTTAATATTACGTACCCCCTGCAGTACCCCAACGTACCCCCATTTGAGAATCACTGCTCTAGGAGGAGATTCAGGTGATAAGGTGGGGGGGGGGTTACCTTGGTTGCTGATTGGCTAATGGTTACACAAGACCAAAACATCGTTATGACATGTTATCATAAAGTGGCCAAAATCTGATCAGCTCATTTTCAGACAGGTTTTTATAGAAATGGATCAAAAAGAGAGAATCTTTGTTCCTGAAACTTTCAGAGTCTCTTTCCACAGAGGGGACACATGGTGATGTAGAAGAGACATGAAGAAGAGGGGACACATGTTGATGTAGAAGAGACATGAAGAAGAGGGGACACATGTTGATGTAGAAGAGACATGAAGAAGAGGGGACACATGGTGATGTAGAAGAGACATGAAGAAGAGGGGACACATGTTGATGTTGAAGAGACATGAAGAAGAGGGGACACATGTTGATGTAGAAGAGACATGAAGAAGAGGGGACACATGTTGATGTAGAAGAGGGGACACATGTTGATGTAGAAGAGACATGAAGAAGAGGGGACACATGTTGATGTAGAAGATACATGAAGAAGAGGGGACACATGTTGATGTAGAAGAGGGGACACATGTTGATGAAGAAGAGACATGAAGAAGAGGGGACACATGTTGATGTAGAAGAGACATGAAGAAGAGGGGACACATGTTGATGTAGAAGAGACATGAAGAAGAGGGGACACATGTTGATGTAGAAGAGACATGAAGAAGAGGGGACACATGTTGATGTAGAAGAGACATGAAGAAGAGGGGACACATGTTGATGTAGAAGAGGGGACACATGTTGATGAAGAAGAGACATGAAGAAGAGGGGACACATGTTGATGTAGAAGAGACATGAAGAAGAGGGGACACATGTTGATGTAGAAGAGACATGAAGAAGAGGGGACACATGTTGATGTAGAAGAGACATGAAGAAGAGGGGACACATGGTGATGTAGAAGAGACATGAAGAAGAGGGGACACATGTTGATGTAGAAGAGACATGAAGAAGAGGGGACACATGTTGATGTAGAAGAGACATGAAGAAGAGGGGACACATGTTGATGTAGAAGAGACATGAAGAAGAGGGGACACATGTTGATGTAGAAGAGACATGAAGAAGAGGGGACACATGTTGATGTAGAAGAGGGACACATGTTGATGAAGAAGAGACATGAAGAAGAGGGGACACATGTTGATGTAGAAGAGACATGAAGAAGAGGGGACACATGGTGATGTAGAAGAGACATGAAGAAGAGGGGACACATGTTGATGTAGAAGAGACATGAAGAAGAGGGGACACATGTTGATGTAGAAGAGACATGAAGAAGAGGGGACACATGTGATGTAGAAGAGACATGAAGAAGAGGGGACACATGTTGATGTAGAAGAGACATGAAGAAGAGGGGACACATGTTGATGTAGAAGAGACATGAAGAAGAGGGGACACATGTTGATGTAGAAGAGACATGAAGAAGAGGGGACACATGTTGATGTAGAAGAGACATGAAGAAGTGGATTCTGCGTAATAGGTGACCTTTAAATGAAATATGTTATGATGTACTAAGGCCGCAGTGTGCTTGCAGGTGTAGTGATTCTGTCTCTGGTTAAGAAGAGGATTGAACACAAATGAATCGCAATATTTGGTTCTGTTTCGCAGAGTGCTGTAAATGTGACGAGGGATTTCGAGGGGTGCAGCACACTTAGGAAGTACTTCGGCCAGCTGCACTACCTCCAGAGCCGAGTGCCCATGGGAACGGGCCAGGAGGCCGCAGTACCCATCTCATGGTAGTAACACACACACACACACACAGGAGATGTAACGAGTACTTCCACATACTGATCCTGCTACATTCTGAGCCATTGTTGGCATGGACGCTATAAGTCTGAAGCTTTTTTTAGTGTCACAATGATTCACTGCAGTTTGCTCTGTAAAATACTTACTTCTTAAGCACATGATTTATAATAAGACAGTTTACAAGTGTCTCCTTTTAAGCCCTAAATCATATTAAATATCCATGTGTATACAATCTCCATTCTATTCAAATGGTATACTCTGTTTTTTTGTCAGGACTGAGATCTTCTCTGGAAAAACAGTCACCCACGATGACATCAGCTATGAGCAGGCGTGCATCCTGTATAATCTTGGTGAGTTAATTAATGTAGAGCAGTGCTCCTCTAGTACCTCATTCACACCAACGGTGTTTCAGGGCCAGTTCGGAGCTGGAGCTTGAAAAGCACCGGGTTTTCCTCTTCACACCGCAGCGGAGCAGCCTCTTAGCTCCGGAATCCGGTTCGTTTCAAGCACCAAAAAATTGTCCGGCTAGCGCAAAATCACCACATACGTTTACGTCGAGGCGGGGGTAGAGACAGGAGCGGGATCAACTCCAGAACAACAACAAAAAGCCGGCGTTTTATCCAGTTTGTACCCAACGATGGAGAAACTTAACAAGCAGCAGTGGTCCACTGAAGAGACCAGCTACTTACTGGGAATCTGGTCTTCCGAAGAGGTACAGAGGAAGCTGGAGCACAATCGGCCATTGTTGTTGTTGTTGTCGCTGTGAGGGGTTTCCGCAAGGTTTGGCTTTATGAAGCAGGCACGCAAACGGTTACGTCATGACGCAAACGATGACGCAATGACGCAGCACCAGTCGGACTCTGGGCGGTGTGAAAAGAGCCGGAGCTAAACCGAAGAACCGGTTCTGAACCTGAAAAGCTCTAGCACGGAGCTTGAACCGGAGTTGCGTTGGTGTGAATGAGGTAAAAGTGTGGTTCACGGACCACTGGTGGTCCATGAGCGCCCCCTAGTGGTCCGTGAGTATATTGGCAACATTTCACATTTTAAAATAAAGTTTTCCGCACTCTCGCGGGAATATCTCCGCAATGGAGCAAGTTTCGATTGCATGATATAGCCCAGTGCAACACCTTCGTCACACATGTTGCCACTTGTTTGTACCATTTTCAGGCGATTTGTAATCTGTTCTAGAAAAACAATGTGTTTTTGGATATTTGTGGAGTTAGGTGTTTATTTTTATTGGTTGAGTGGTCCTTGGTATGAAAAAGTTTGAGATACACTGATTTAGAGTAATTCATATTATTGCCTTTTATTACATGGCTTAGTTGAATACTCGATTCTGATTTGGTCAATTCAGAACACGTGACACGTTGTTAATCCAGAACAGACAGACCGCTGTCAAGGACTTATTGACCGTTGTTAATAATAATAATAATAGCTTTGATTTATATAGCGCCTTTCAAGGGACCCAAGGTCGCTTTACAAGTAATAGGGCAACAACAAACATAACAAAACAAAAGTCAGACAGACAAAACAACAGATCGATTTAGGGGCCGATAGCCTTGGCAAACAGATGGGACTTGAGGGCCCTTTTGAAGGCGTCAAGTGTGTGTTGCGAATCTCCGCAGGGAGAGCGTTCCAGAGGGTGGGGGCTGCCACGCTGAAGGCTCTGTCCCCGAAGGTTCGCAGTTTGGTGCGGGGGGTGGTAAGCAGGCCAGAGTCTGAGGACCGCAGGTTCCGGGGAGGGTCATGTGGGTGAAGGATGTCCGATAGGTACTGGGGGGCAAGGGCATGGAGGGACTTGTAGGTAAGGAGGAGGACTTTGTAGGATATGCGGGACTTGACCGGCAACCAGTGTAGGTGGATGAGGGTGGGAGTGATGTGCTGCCACGGCTTTGTGTGTGTGAGTACCCTAGCAGCACAGTTTTGGACATACTGGAGCCTGTCCGGGGTTTGTTGGGAACCCCGAACAGGACACCATTGCAGTAGTCCAAGCGGGTGGTGACAAACGCATGC